CCTCTGGAAACCAGAGGGCAGAATTTTGTGTTTCTTGCATAAAATGTACAATATAGTATTATTCATCAAATAATATAATTTGAGCAAAACGTCTATAGTAGCATTATTCATCATGCATATATTAATATAGGAAAACTCTGCAGGAAAGGCAAAGTGAGCGTTCAATTAAAAGAAATCCCCCCACTAGACATAATAAAAAAGACTCTAATACCAGAATAGTCGAGGTCTGGGCTACTCCTGTCCGCAAGTACATGTACAGAAAGAAAAAAAAAATTAACAAGCCTCAGTGTTGAAGCAACATCACATCTCAAACAAAATAAAATAAAGTACACGGACTTATACTTTTATCATTGCTATAACTTCTGAGAAGCAAATTTTACGTAAATTCCTTCAATATTTTATGGAAATCAATACACCAGAGAATACATTATAAAGAGGATTGTCGTGAAGTTTTGTTTCTATTGTATAAGCATTTCTTATCCACACTTTGTCTCCGACATCAAGGGAGAGACTAAGGATTTGAGAACTGTGGGGATAGGTTCTTTAGCCCGATAAACAGAAGATTTCCTTTGTCCATTCTGAACCATTTCCATGTATGATTGATTACTTGGATGACTCATAATAGAACATGATATACTGTACAAGCCAGGAAGTGGCGCCGTAGATTTCCGTGTGGTTTGTTCGTTGCCTTTTCCCTCATTTATGTGAATCACGTCATAACGTACAGCTGCCCTTGAATGTATCACGGTGTCTCCCGAAAGATGCACGGTAAAACTCGCAACAGTGTCTTGTCCATATGCAATAGAAATATACCATAAACTTGAATTATTTTCAACGATGAAATATATGGTGATAGCGAACAATATTCAAGCTCAAATGTCCATTAAACAATACAAATCAGGAGCAGAGCAAACACGGACCTCTGAAATGTCTGAGGTGGGATCAGATGCCATGGAGGAGTGAGTATCCCCTGCCGACCGGTCATATCCGCCCTGTGCTCCTTGTTATGATCGGGAAATAACGGAAGAATCCGTCGAAAATTCAGTGTGTAAATAATAGTCTAACAATTAGTATGCAAAACGTCAGTCAGCATTTGACTTAATGATAGATTGTACTTGCTGACAAGGTCATAGTATCATTGTATAGGACTTATGAAATGATGACTTTAAACGAGACTGTTGATATTCTTGTTTCATCAACTTGTTTGTCAACAACTTATCTCGTTTTAGAAATGGTTCATATGTAGAGTATGCTCTTGCGTATCGAATCAACTGAGAGATATAAACCCTGTATGCAGGTGATGAAGGTATATTGCTGCATAAGTAAAGGAAGTTGAAAAGTTTAATTTGATTGTTGGGAATATTAAAAATATTTAAAACTAACATATGGTTTTGAAGAATTTCCTCCTTAGAAAGGGAGAAATGGGTATAAGTTGGATTACCACGTCCAGAATTAAATCCTAGTTCCTCTAAAATACAAATACAATTCAAATAATGAGCCCCACAAACTAAGACAATGTTGTTACCTGCTTTGTCAGCGGGAACCAGTACATACTGATCGTGTTTCATTTCTGCATTGTCGAAGACAGAAGGATAGATGGTTTTTATATTGCCACTCAATTGCTTCATGCGAGATCTCAACATCCATCTGATACATTTAGTTCATTCTGACAAAGTGTCAAGGTCTTCTTTTTCATATTTGACCTATCGTCTTGTGTCTTCCTCTACAGAATTCACAATATTTATGAAATTATGATCCCAAGTGAAAGATCGGGGTTCACTAAACTTTGGCCCTCTTATAATACTTGTTTTAAGGTCATTATTACATGTAACTATATGTACGTCACCAGTAATGACGTGCCCGTGATTAAGAATATTACTTATATTAATTGCGTCAACTCTTTTGTTGGCATATCGAAGTTTAAGGAACAAAAGGGTTGTTTGAGCGGTAATTTCTTCCGCGAAATGTGACTGTGTAAAGAGGGTATGATTTAAATATCCATAACCACAGATCCCAGCCTATATTTTGGTGTCAAAAAATCCAAATATTGACATTCCTTGACTTTTACAAATTGACTGTTCAAAACTTTCAAAGGGACAGAGTAAAGTTTGGTGCGAATGTGATGAAGGCCTTTCTGTTTATTCACATAAGGTAGTAGTGAATCAAAGGAGACTTCGTGTATAATAGGTTTATTATAAGACCGATGTCCATGACTACGCTTACGTCTCTGTGTACTGTTAAAAGGTCTCATCACATTGACATTGCTACACTGAAGGCTTGAAAGATTCCCAACACTATCGACATTGCCATTGCTACCGTATGGAAAGGCCGTGCTTAGGTTTCTAATCCAGTATTCTTTTCGTTGACATGACTACGGAAATTTATACTCAGTAATGGACTTTTTGTATGAAGGTAAATCTTCTCTAGAATTCTTCATGTTCTTACTTTTGTTCACAAAACAGAATGGTCATATAAATCAAAATGCTTGAATAGAAGCTGCTGGTCCCGTTGTTAATTTGAAACCAATGCACTGATATTCTTTTATTAAGTGAACCCTTGGTTTCAGCAACATAAATAAGCCAAAAAATGGTACATTTTATTCCGTAGACATCATTAGAAGATTTGCAATTCAGATTTTCCTTTGGTATAGGAGCTCTGTCCAATAAGTTTTCTAGTAAACGAATATCTAGTAATCAAAATATCACAGGTTTTGCGGTTTTTGACAGAACATTTTGAAATAGAACGCATAGATCGAAAAAGGAATTGTCAATTTTATCTCTAATAGAAACTTTACATTACCTCAATTTTTTTGTATGAACTGTTGGTTCTATGCCAAAACTGAGAATCTGAAGATTGCACATATGACATATGTTTATTATCCCTGAAGCTAATCCGAGGGACACCGATTGAACTCTTAGAGTCTGTGTCCCTTTTATGAACTGTTGGTTCTATGCCAAAACTGAGAATCTGAAGATTGCACATATGACATATGTTTATTATCCCTGAGGTTAATCCGAGGGACACCGATTGAACTCTTAGAGTCTGTGTCCCTTGTAGACTCAAAAGAGTGACACCTTTTTATACTGGACGACGCGTCTGGCAGGATCTTTTCGTTATGCTGTGTACCTTTCAAGAACCGAACGAAAAGTATCCTCGGGGACAGACTGTCCACCATGCAGAGGTACATATTCGGTGGTTTGAAATATTGAGATAGCAAACAGTATTCATGCTCTAGGTCCATTTAAACGATACAAATCGGGATCAATGCAAACATGGACTTCCAAAACATCAGAGGTGGAATCTAAATGAGTTAATTTGGTCGAAATGATTTCATGTTCAGGAAAATTTGTAAAAAAAAAAAAAAATACTATCAAGTTTATTAACAATTTTATTACCTGCTTAACGACAAAAGTATTTGGCTATAATTAATATGAAACCACGTTGTTAAATAATGTAGTTGCATTGAATTATTATATGATATGCATTATATATATATATATATATATATATATATATATATATATATATATATATATATATATATATATATATAAGAAATCAATTGTCTTCTATCAGATGGATACAGCTGTACATCTATTTTTTATTGGAAAATGCATAAAAAACGTTTCTCTGGATACTAATTCTTTTTAATTCGAATATCCAGATGCAAATAAATATATTCTTAATTATATGAACTTTGGAATGAAAAATTATGACATTGAACTTTTACAACAGTTAACAGTTGAATATGACACTGCTATCCAGCTTTTATTCGCATGCTAGACATACATAGCAGTTTGTGACTGAGTCTTTATCATTCTGAACCTGTCATCAGTGCAAAAAGGGCACATAGAAGGAAAGGGGTTGTTGCTAACGAATAATTGCTGGATTGCAGTAGAGGTATTGCAAAGTGTCATCGAAAGATATTACTATACTATTACTATAGTAGGTGTTTAATATAATTCAATCGCTAATATAGTACAATTTTTTTTTTGAAAAACTATCTTGGAAGTTTGTTTTTATTCACGCATTCATCACTCTATACATACAGTCATCTCAGATAGTATCATAAGCAGTACTTATGATTTCTTCAGCCATTGATTTTAATTTTAGTGTATCTACCTATAAAAATAAATAAATAAATAAATAAACAAATGAATATATATATATATATATATATATATATATATATATATATATATATATATATATATATATATATATATATATATATATATATATATATATATATATTCTAATGTCATTAAAATCATTAATTCTTTGAAAAAAAAATCATAAATTAAGATGGAAATCAGTGGTAGTGTAGTGGAGAAACATCAAGGATTTTTACATAATTACGTACTCTTTTACAAAATTAAAAAACTTCCAATCTTCCGCATTTGTTTGTTGCATGCTTAATCAGAATACAATTCCCTGCGGGTATGTAAGAAATAATTGAAGAACTATTTAGGTCTGTTTTTTCATTATCTCTGAACAAATCCGAAAATATTAATAATAAATCTTCGTTTCATATGAACCATTATAATTATAATCCAGAATATTTTCAGTATCTTTCATTAAGCAATTAAAAATTAAAACATCAATAAACATAGTTATATAATTGCTTATATCTCAAAATAAAACCTTTGTCCGCTTTTTTGAATCAGCATATTACCGGTCTCACCTTACGTCGTAAACCGATTCTTGGCAGACTTTGTACAGGAATTAAAAAGTCAGCACACATGTTCTCATCCACCTGTTAAAATGATGGGTTTTCATGTAAATGAAAAAAATAAATCTTTTAAATCCGAATTTTGAAACTTGTTTTGAAAGACTTACACTCAGCAACATGTATTCTCTGAGATTGCCTGGAGTAGCTGTAGATCCCTCTCTAAGTCTGTAACAAAGAAAATTATTTCTGAGTTTCATTTAGATAGTTAAGGTTTTGTGAAATACAAATAAAGTTACCATCGTTTCTAAATAAGATTAACTAAGTATACTCACACATAAAATATAAAAAAATTATCACCTTGTTCATCGCTTTGAATGCCAACTACCTGAATGATGAAAAGTCATTGTCACTGAAAATAGCTTATTATAAATAGAACATTTTTTTATATGATGGCTATTGTCATCACTTGCATTTGAGTTTAAAAGGTCTATTAGAGATATTGTTTACTTCTAAAATGCTTTGTGATTATCCCATCTAACACAAATATTAATTATTAAGATTTCTCTACCTATCAAATATAGTGTCAGTACTTGAACATTCAATTTTTGACTTCAGAACTAAAATTACCGCTGATCCTAACACATCTGCATGGGAAGAAATTATCTCAGTCAGTTGTTTTGGATAAATTTTTTCACCATTATGTTTGAAAAACAAGCAGTCAGTTTTTCGGCCAATGTACGTCACATGACTTGTTTCATCCATTTTACCAATATCCCTTTTATAAAATCAATCGGCAATTTAAATTAAGGCATTTTGAAACATTTTTTTCTGCATTAAATTGACTATATTTATGGATCAGCTAACTTTTAATCATATTTTGACAAATTCATTTTTCATAAATGCTTTGCAGAATGAATATTTTCAAAATATATTCAGAGAGAGAGAGAGAGAGAGAGAGAGAGAGAGAGAGAGAGAGAGTACCCAGTGTGTAACCATCCCTGGTTGTCCAAGGGACCTGTCCCTGGCTCATTGTTGTTTAAGTATCCATAAAATACACCAAATCCTTTTATGCAAATTTCACCTTGTACGTTGATTGGTAGTATTTCGTCCTTGTCTCCAATAACTTTTACCTATTAAACAGGTTATTGATTCCCTTTTAAGGAACATAAATATTACTGGAACTTAACCATGAAATAAACGGAAATTCTTTTAGAGATAGTTTCACACAAATAAGGAAATGAACATGTGTTTATTAAGTTGAAATAAACTTTCTTTAAATGTGTTTAATACCTCTGTATGGGGGAATGGATATCCTACAGTGTCCAAGCGTTGGTCCGGAGTGGACAGGACAGGAGATGTACAAGTTCCTACTAAACATTCGCTAGCCCCGTAACAAACCTACAAAATAATATCAATCTCCGTATTAAATAAACTCGTTATCACTTAAAATATACATATACAGGAAAAATACATGAGAAAAAACTGCCGTTTTCTGAGTAAGGACAAATTACAAACTCACCGTTGAACTTGGAAAATGTTTATAAATTTTCTCTCGCATTTTCTTGGACACTATTTGCGACACAAGATTGACTGAAAATGAAAAAAAAAAATTCCCTTGAAACTTAACACAATTTAAAAAAAAAAAATCAGATAAAAGATAAAAATACAGCTGTGTTTTTCCAAATCTACATGATAAATGATGTAATTCATTATGTGTAAGTGTTCTGATTCAACCTAATATACTCTAATGAGTAATAGTAATTCCTGAAATTTTCACCTCTAGAATTTGAGCAAGCAGCAAGTTTAAGCTATGAAAACATAATTTAAGAGGATTGAAATCAGCCGATCAGTATGAGATTTTTTCTCAACAACTCTTTTTTTTTGTTGTGTAGTTAGATTTTTGAAGCCTGTACCATGGCACATATCTTTATCTAATAGTATTGAATAACAGTATGATTAAATAGTTAAATGTTTACCTGATTTTAGATTGGATAAATCATATTGATCAACGTATTCCGAATTCACAAGCTTGATCACTTCGTGAGAAAAACCTAGGTAACTTGTTATTCTGTACAAATTAGAAAGGAAATAAAAACAATATTAATATTTTCGATATTAATATATCGTGTATAAGCATGTGGATAAAACAAATTGTATATCGCACTTCAACGCTCCTCAATGTGATAAAAATACATAACAAGAAGTGCATTCACAGTATAATCAGGGCTACAATGATTTTAAATAGCATGTATAGAATTGCACAGAATTGGGACTGATTTTGTAACGTCAATATAGCGTCATTCAAAGGCTAAAAGTTGACGTCCAAATGTTGGAATATACATTATTTCTTTCACATTGCGAATAATTGGTTCAAAATGTAGATGCATAAATTACCCCGGTTGAGTTTAATTATAGTTTTTTCATATCTATTGAAGTCCAATTTATCGGTGTCGTTTTCAACATGATTGAAAATGAATGTGGACTATTTTGTTATATATATTTAAGTTCTGAAACATCCCAGTCGGCAATGTTGACTACTTTATTTTCTTTATCATCTTTTCTTCTTTCACATTCTATTTTTTCTTTCTAGTTTTTTTATCGATTATTATTGTTTTTGTTTTTGCTACAGGTTTGTATTTCTTTAAATTGGCAAATGTGCAAGAAATCCCTTTTTGATGTTATTTCATATGTTGTCTAAGCTTGAAAACGTTAAAAATTTAATGCGAAGCAAATTAGACAATCAATTTTTGCTTCGCTTTCTTAAAAAGCTTAAACATTTTTTTTTATCTTTTAAACCTCAAATTTTATTTATTTGCACATTTCAAAAATAAGATTTTATCTGTAACAAGTCTTACATTTAAAACGGAATAGAGCTCACATCTATGATAAACGTCCGGTAATATACTATAAAACGCTTATTTGACTAGACATCAAAATAACTCTACCAATCTCTCCAAATACTTCCTTATAAGTTTAAAAGAAACAATTATCTACTTCTTCATTTGCACATTTCATTTATCACTTCAAGTTTGCTTTAACTAAAGGAACTTGTTATATAGTAAAATTTCTTTATCAAGCATTCCAACTTTCCTTGTTACTTGTCAAATCACGGCATGTCACGGAATGCTACCATTTTTAAGAACAGTTGGAATTAGTCGGCATTGGAAATTTAATAATGAATTTTGTACGACACCATCACAAAATCCATGCAGCCAAAACCAAAAAAAAAAAAAATGACTAAAACAAGTGTAATAGGTAGCGTATTTGGCTATGCCTATCATCACTGAATCTGAGGGGCTATTGGAAAATGGACTCTTCCAAAAAGCTGATCACCCCTACGGTAGGTAGAATAAGCCAAGTGTATAACAAGAGGCCCAGGGGCCACATCGCTCACCTGAGCACTGTGGCTGCGAAAAAAGCAAAAATCAGTTTAGTATTGCAATGCTTAAATGCGTAAGTGGTCCCGATCTACCCCTAAAAGGGAGGAGGCTGGGGGTATGATTTCAACAAAATTGAATCTACACTAAGGATGCTTACACATTTTTTTTTTGACTAACTGTGATTTTTCCCTACAAGTTTAAACTTTCATTGTGGCCCTACCTACCCCCGGGGGTCATGCTTTGAACAAACTTGAATCAACACTATCTCAGGATGCTTCCATATAAATATGACCAATCAAGTCTTTGCTGTTCTTGAGAAGAAGATTTTTAAAGATTTTCCCTAAATATTCCTATGTAAAACTTTGATCGCGCACTGTGGCCCCACCCTACCCCAGGGGTCATGATTTGAACAAAATTGAATCAACACTACCTGAGGATGCTTCCACATAAATATGACCAATCTTGGCTTAGTTATTCGTGAGAAGAAGGTTTTAAAATATTTTCCCATGTATTCCTATGTAAAACTTTGATCGCCCAATGTGGCCCCACCCTACCCCCGGGGGTTATGATTTGAACAAACTTGAATCAACACTATCTGAGGATGCTTCCATATAAATATGACTAATCAAGACTTTGTTGTTCTTGAGAAGAAGATTTTTAAAAATTTTCTCTATGTATTCCTATGTAAAACTTTGATCGCCCAATGTAGCCCCACCCTATCCCCGGGGGTTATGATTTGAACAAAATTGAATCAACACTATCTGAGGATGCTTCCGTATAATATAACCAATCAAGACTTTGCTGTTCTTGAGAAGAAGATTTTGAAAGATTTTCCCTATGTATTCCTATGTAAAACTTTGATAGCCCACTGTTGCCCCACCCTACCCCTGGGGGTCATGATTTGAACAAACTTGAATCTACACTACCTGTGGATGCTTCCACATCATTTTCAAACTTTCTACCACTGTGGTTCTTGAGAAGAAGATTTTTGAAAGATGCCATAAATTTTTCATGAATTCGCAATTATCTCCCCTTGGAAGAAGGCGTGGCCCTTCATTTGAACAAACTTGAATTCCCTTCATCCAAGGATACTCTGTGCCAAGTTTGGTTGAAATTGGCCCAGTGGTTCTGGAGAAGAAGGTGAAATTGTGAAAAGTTTACGACAACGACGACGACAACGACGACAACGCCAACACCAACGCCAACGACGACAGACAACGAACAAATTTTGATCAGAAAAGCTCTCTGAGCCTTTGGCTCAGGTGAGCCAAAAAGGAGACGCTGGCAGCTGCCAGGCCTTTTAGGACTGAATCAGTTGAAGTGTCGACTGAGAGAAGAAAGCAGCTGCTGAAGACGAGAGGTAAAGAAAAAGCCCTCTTAAAGAAATAAACATAAGAGAGCAAAGGTTGGAATTAAACACTAGTGGGAAGAGAGCAGTCAAGAGGAATTTTGGTGAGGTACCGGTACGAAGTAGTTCTGAATAAGGGTGAAAGAACCTGGTACTTCACGAAACAATAGGAACTCTGGCTGTTCTAGGAACAAAGTGCAGGGTACCTTGCTCTGGAACCACGGCCTACCATTTTAAATTATTTGTACATAGATCCAATCAATTACAACTCAGATAGAGTAGGAGAAAATATATTTATAAAGAACCCTTGTCGAACCCAATAGGTTTACACGTTACACTATTATCACTCTTCTCTAACTGTTACAAAATACGCAATTAAAAATTCCAATACTTTACGCTACGTTTTAGTATTCTGTATACCATGGTTTCCTGATAGGGCCAATTGCATAAGTGCAACAGTGCGTTAGTGACAATACGCCGGCGCGTTGTTCACAGTACGCCGTTACACTAACGCAACTTTTAAAAAAAAACACGCTGGCGCGGTAACACGCAACATATTGTCATGTTAAATAAATGCAACTTTACACAACATGCCTGCGCTCTATCACACAACACGCCGATGCTCTAACACAATTTTGCAAAACACACCTTCGCGCTAACATAATCTTGCACAATTCGTTGCCTGTTAGCACAGCGGCGAGTTGAGTTGAGTTTACATGTAGTTTCATTAGCGTTAGGGCGTGACCATATTGTTAAAGTTGCATAAGCATTACTACGTGTTGTGTGATAGCGCACAGACGTGTTGTGGTATGCTGCGTTAGCGCAGTGGCGTGTTATGTGTCAGCGCGACGGCGTGTTGTGAATAAACGCTAGCGCGCTGTAACTAAAGCCTTGATACACTTTTGCAAGTGACAACGTGCCAGTGCGTTAGTAACAACACGACGTCGCATTGTGAACAACGCGCATGCGTGTTGTCACTTCGCATTGGCGGATTGTTACTTACGCGCTTTTACATTTTTGCAAATGACAACGCGCCGTCACGTTGTGAACAACGCGCCAGCCGTTTTACTAACACGCTCTTACACGTCTGCAAATGGCCCTAACGGACACAATAGTATACGAAATGTACTCAGAAGATTTTTTTTTTATGAAATTAATACAACCAACTTTTCATCTTGCAGAAACCTGGCAAAATGCTCCATATCCTCGCCTTCAAGGTCACACCATGATGGAACCAACACAATTTTTGAGGTTTTCCAGTTAATTAGCGCGTTTAATGTGTTAATCACAGGTTGAATATCATCTGTCAAAGGGTTAGGTATGGCTATGTTGATTTCATTGGGTACCATCTTATGAAGAAAAAAAACCCATTTAATTTATTCAGAAGATAACAATTCATATTAAGAAAAAAAACCCAAGAAATAAGTCCATTTATTTTTACGAAAACTGTTGAATAATTAAGTTTGAGTAAATATTGAAGGTAAACCTACTTTTTTTCCTACCAGCCGATCGATACAAAAAATCCCCATGTTCACAACTGATGTGTGAGTAGTTAAAACAGCTTTACTGGAACCCGTAGAACCCTGATTGAATAAATTAAAATTTATCGAGTTACTTCTTGAAACTATATGAAAGCTAGATAGTGTAATTATATACAATGTCCGAATTTGACATAACAAAAATATGGAATGAAATTTTTACCGTTGTTCTGATAATGAATGCGGGGTCCTCTGGAGATACACTTTTCATAGTTGCAAAATATGATTCATCTGTTACTGAATTGTCGTCTTTAAAATAACTGCAAAAATTTCGTATCTCTTGTACATTCGAAATTGCATGTAAATATTTCATAAGCTATCTGACCAAAAATATTCATTTTAATGAATGATGATATTTTCGCCATTTTAATTAGCTAAATAATATATGGTTTAAATGTAATATGCATTTCAAGGGTATTAAATATCGGAAGTCGGCGCACGGCAATTTCTTGACTTTCAAAAATTGAATTGACAGCGATGTTTTCTTTAATATCAGGCTATACGGAAATATAATATGACCCCAATTCCTTCCATAGAAACTGTGTGATCTGGAGTACTCGTGTATAAAAAATCAATACTCTGACATTATAAATAATAAAAATTTGACGTTATATGCACAAACACTATAAGTTACATATTGTCAAAAACGGCGACGTCGGGCGATAATGCGGCACACAAAATTATTAATTAGTACTGTGTGGAGCGGGATATGACCCCTGTTCATACGGGAAAAGAGCTGGGAACAAGGGAACGACACAGATACATGTATCGAACACTGGTTTATACATAGTAAAAGAGGTTCAAAGATGGATGGACTAGTTATCCGATGGAAGAAGCGTTTAGTAGACCAACATATAAATGACAACTAAAAAGTCTAGAGCTTGACGTCGTCTGGAGACCCCCGTTAACTATACGAGCAGTTAGATTTATTATTGCAAAATTGTCTATTAAAAAAATTATTCCTTGATTTATTCTTAACTGTGGCATGTGTGAAATGGACAGCTCGATAACTAAAAGAAAATTATACTTCTGACAAATATTTTAAGGATGCAAGTTTCCTGAACAAATTCAAAATCTCCATGAACTACGTTTTCACGTCGTCGGTGTTGCGCCTACAGCTGTTTTGAATAATTCGTTGATCAACGATAAAAATGTTATTTACAGTGATATTTTATTGAAATTTCTGTGAATTATGTAAAAAAAAAATGTTGATTATGGTGCATACCAATTCATAACTTTATAATACGAGTGAAACAAAAATGTTGAAAATGATCGCGTTTTTCTGGGACAACCCTCGTATTATAAGTTGTGGGAAGATGTATAACAATTATATTGTTTAGATCTAGACTTAAACTGAAATATAGTTTAAACCATTTCACTCACTCTTGGATACTAGACTCTCCCAAAAAATTGATTTGTCTCAGGTTGGATGCCCTAAACATGAAAGAGAAATTCTTGTGATTTATGGAAAATATTGCAGAACTATGTTATTATTATTTAATAAAATTATTTCTGTAATTGCATGTGATTCATTCACTTGTTGTTGATGTTGTTCATTAATTTATCTATTTTTGCCTTATTTCCAAAAAACCTGTCTTTGTTGTCATTGGTTTTAAAGTTCTCAGCAATTGACAATTCTTCTTTATCAGACCGGGATCCCATAATAATCACTGCTGGGTTAACCTTCAAATGCAAAATTTGAATTATTCATAGTGATATTCATATAACATACATGTATCTTTGAATTCTGTTACGCAACATTTTCACTTTCAGAGCCGAAAACAGATTGTTTACCTGTTTCGTCAATGCTTTGTCAGAAATTTAGTTCTCAGATGGTCATGGTTATTTACTATGTCGTGTAAATCGTATTGACAAATTGATTTTTTTAAAACTTTGTCTTCATTACAGTGTAAATAAGTCTGAAGCTGTTTGAATGAAAACGCTAATATTTCATACAATATATATAATTACAAGTATACGAATGAACTTATTTTAGATACCCTGGTAAAAAAATGAAAAAGAAATTTCCATGGGAAGAGGGTTATGTTATGAATAACCGCTTTGGCTTCTTTTAGGAGCGATACTTCAACTCCACCAAAAACATTGCTGTGTCAACTTCGGAAATCAATTATGGTTACTCGCTCATCCTTTCGTTCATTTCCCCTCCCTCTCCCACCCTCTCTCTCTCTCTCTCTCTCTCTCTCTCTCTCTCTCATAAACACCCTTATAAATTTATAAAAGGTACATAAATACATATTTATAACAAATTAGAAAAGCAGAGATTGTTGGTCTAGATCTCATTAAATCTTTCGAATGAAATTATCTGCTTTTATGAAAAAATGACAACATTAATTTATATAAAATTATGAGAAAAGAAGGATTTCTTTCATTGTGTTTCCATATATAGAATTGATACGGTTAGTTCAGTAGTATTTGTAGCATGTACTATAGTGTTGATTCACCTATATATCAAACACCTTATATTGATCACATTGGTTTAAACTTATTCTCTCATACAAAGGTTTGGTTGAAATCCTGACATGTACGGAGTTGTATGAAGTTATTCCCTATATAATTATATCAGGTGGACGAAAGGAAATAAAAGGGTTTTAAATTAAAAGTTGGAAGTTATATGTAAGGTCGTAGGGAAGGTCAAGGTAAAAAATAATTGACACAGATTAATTGCTCACCAATCTATTACAGTGTATCAATTTTGCATTAATAAAGTTGGTGATAATTTTTATTTAAAATAAAGGAAAAAAAAAGCAAAGGAAAGTGGTTAGAAAAAACAAACTCAAATTAAAGTTGGAAAAGCCAAGATTAAACTTAAATTCCAACTTTCAAGTTGGAAAAGGCAAGTTTAAAGTTGAAATTTCCAACTTTAAGTTGGAAAAGTAAACTTTAATGAAATATATGGAGATAACGAACAGTATTCAAGCTCAAAAGTCCATTAAACATTACAAAATGGGAGCAGAGCAAACACGGACCTCCAAAACACCAGAGGCGGGATCAGGTGCCATGGAAGAGTGAACATCCCCTGCCGACCGGTCACACCCGCCGTGTGCTCCTTGTAAAGATCGGGAAATAACGGAAAAATCCGTCGACAATTCAGTGTGTAAATAATGGCCTAACAATTAGAATGAAAAACGTCAGTCAGCATTTGACTCAGTGAAAAATTGTATTTGCTGACAAGGTCATTGTATCGACCATAGAATTTACGAATTGAAAACTTTAAACGAGACTGCTGATATTCTTGTTTCATCAACTCGTTTGTCAATAATTTACCTCGTTTTAGAAATTGTACATACGTAGAGCATTCTCTTGCGTATCGAATCAACTGACAGATATAAACCCCGTATGCCGGTGATGAAGGTATATTGCTGCATAAGTAAGGGAAGTTGACGATTGAAAAATTAAAGTCATCACGTTTATCATAAAGCTTGGTTGTTAGATTACCATTAACGTCTTTTTCCAGTAAAATATCAAAATATGAAACTGATGTGTCAGACTCTGTGGTATCTTTTATCTCAAGCTCACCGGGATATATCGTATCGACATAGGAATGGAAATAACCATTGTTAATTGACAATACGTCGTCGATATAGCTAAATGTCGAGTTGAAGGCCACAGCAAGTGCTTTCTTCTTTTCACGTATTAGCCAACTTTAAAGTTGGAATTGCCAGCTTAAGAGTAAATTACAAACTTGGAATTGCCAGCTTAAGAGTTGGAATTACAAACTTTAAAGTTGGAAAAGCCAGAAGTTCGAATTACCAACTTTAAAGTCGGAATTACCAACCTTAAAGTTGGAAAAGCAAACGTTAAAGTTGGAATTACATACTTTAAAGTTGGAATAACCAATTTTAAAATTGGAAAAGCCAACTTTAAAGTAAGAATTACCAACTTGTAAAAAAAAAATAAGTGGTACTTATTCGTTTACATAGTACGAATATTTTAAAGTTTGGATTGAATTTTTGTTCTAAAAAATCCATCACTTATAGAAATATCTATTTTTTTTTTAGGAACAAATTTATTTCTTTAGTTTTCGAAGTGTTGTTCATACACAATATGAAGATAATCCCGAAAATCAATAGATTCATTGAACTGAAACCAGTAGTTTTCAAGGTAAATATTGGGCATCAGGAGAGAGAGAGAGAGAGAGAGAGAGAGAGAGAGAGAGAAAGAGAGCAAGTTGACGGTAAATACACACGGGCCGAGGTGTCATGTAGGAGGGAAAGGGGGAATCTTGACCTGACAGGAAGACTGTGTAATGATTAGGTAGGTACATATAGGTGCCAGTTCTCTTGTAGCGAGAGCACTTCGATCTGCCACTTAGCTATAATATATACTTAATTCATTACCATTCCGAAATAGGTAAGTTGTTTAAACTAACATATATGTTTTTTGCAAAATCTTTCTTTTTTTCATTTTCTAATGCCATTAAGAAATATAAAAGGAAAGTATCTATATTATTTTATACAATCTTCGTTGATGAATTATATTGAGTATGTGCAGGTATTATATATTGTAGTTTTTAATTAAGACAAATCAGAGAAATAAGTTAAATAAACAGGGAAAAATAACAAATAAGAACTACAAAAATTTCGCGTACGGACAAAATTTATGTAAATGTTATCATGGTGATTACATTGTATATGCTTTATGTATCATTTGGTATCAGAACTTTAAATAATTGTGCATACATGTAGACAAGAGGTTTAAATCCATAATTATATTATCAGACAAATAATGTCTTTTAAATAAGTATCATAAATTTCTTGCACATGTATTTATGATAAATGAATAACTTGTTATTGATTGAATAAGTAATTGAATGAAAGGATATACCTGTACTGATTTTTTTTTGGGGGGGATATATACCTACTGCTAATGTTTATAAGCCGAAAACTGTCCATTAAATCAGATATTAGACGTTGCAAGGTTCGTGGTCGATCTCAAAAAATCCATAATCAATAGAGGTATATCTTTTTATTCAATTACTTATTCAATCAATGACAAGTTATTCACTTATCATAAATACATGTACAAGAAAATTATAATAATTATTATAAGACATTCATTATGATTCAGATCGATCACTGTTCGTTATCTTTACCTTTTACATTCTGACATTTTTTATTGAAAATTTGCAACAAACGGTTTCTCGACTCTGCGCAGGTTTTGAAGAATTTTATTCCAGCCACTCCTTGAATCAACGACAGACACAAACTCAAACAACGCGGGAACTGGATGGGCAAATGGTCACAAATCACCGAACAAAAAATCGGTAATTTACTCTGCTAATTTCCTACATTTGTTCATATTAAATTGATTGATTATCAAAGCCTTTTCAATGTTGTTATTTATCTGTATCGCCCTTTGTTTTTATTTGATTATTACCTGTAGGTATCTAATAAGTTTATTGGACACCTATTGGACGAAGTGCAGGAAATTTACTGAACCAGGTTTAAGGAAAGATGACGTCACAAAAAATTTTAAGTTTCTATAATTATCAAAATCAACTTAATGAAGATCTACTTCTTGTGTCCCTGACTGTTAAAAACATTTGTTTTTTTGACAATAAATAATTTCCTACAATTCCATAAATTTAACCCCCCCCCCCCCAAAAAAAAAAAACCCAGAAAAACAAATGACTAGTGGATCGATTATTTCATTTCCAAAAGCATGGTTAAAATTTTCCATCTGCGCTCTCTGCTTGGTCACCGTACACGGCATGAAATAAATTTTATTTATTTATTTTTTTATTATTCTTATTTATTATTCTTATTTTCTTAATAATATATCAAAGTTTATACCAAAGGTTTTAAAATTTCTCTCTCAACAGTTGAATCAATCGTAAATAATTTAACAAAACAAAAAATGATTTCGGGGTATCTAGAGTGTTTCTTCTCAAGGTAAAGATTAAAAGCAAGAATTTTCGAATGCGCAGAAAAAAAACAATACATAATAGAACGTAATAAACGATCCTCACGATAACCGTAAAAGCAGATAAACGGAAAACACGATAGAAAAACGCAAAACCTGATAAACGGACAACAGGATACGATAGGATACGCACACATATAGGATAAACACATGATTGGACATGACAGAACTGTAAAGAATAACGGCGCAGGTACTGTAGGTGATAGTATTTGTGAAAAAAAAGTTTGATTGCCATAAACATGAAGTGTCTATGTTTTACAATGTACATAAAATTCATTTAATACATATTGTAGTTCACCTGGAGTTTCGGTCAGCAATAACAGTATCAACTGCATAAAATAATATAATAAGTTTTATAAAAAAAATTCGGAGTTCATCTTGAACCGAGTACGTAAAAATTAAAGAAAATTATGTACAGTGGAGTCTCCTTAATGCTGACGCTTCATTCGTAGGGAACATTTTATTCTAATACATACAAATTATGTTTCCGTAATGCGGACGCTTCATTAATCTAGAAAATGTGCTCCGGAACATGAGAATCAGGACTGACTAGGCGGGCTGTACGCAAAACCCAAAAATCTTTTGAGTTTTAAAATGTTATAAACCACCTCTGTTTACTGACAAAAATCATTTTTAAAGAACGGATAGTGTTATACAGTGTATTCTTGTTTAATTGATATCTTTCCTCAGTTTGCAGAAAAATTAAAATGGATCAGACAGAAGTACAATGTGAACTCTGTAAATTAGTGAAAACCTGATTTTGTATTTGTTTTTACTTCATAAACTCGACGGAAAAAATTATAAATAGTAAAAAAATGCTTACCTGCAGCTGACTTTTAAAATGTGAATCGAAAGCCTGCAATGTGTCATTTAACCTTATATATGAAATGCAATTAAATGGAGACAAAATATTCATTCCAATTTTTTTATTTAAAAAATTGTGCAAAGTTATTAACTTACTGATTGACAAATACATCCAATCGAGACTGTTCCTAAAAGCAAGGGAAAATACTTCAGATCCGCCACTCCATTGACCAGGACAATGCTACCTTTCTGAATTCCATTCTTTATTAGCCATTTGGAGAACAGTAAGGACTATTGAAAAGATCAAATGACACTTATTTTTCACGAAATCATCTTATGTTATGAACCAAGTATACGTACCGTTTATACATCATCTTGATATGGTATTAGTACAAGAAGTTCATGTTCCTTTTCAGAAATATAACAAAGGGCCCATGACTCAAAACTGAGTCACTTTGGCCTTGCTGTTCCCGTCAGCAGATTGTTTTTTTTTTAATTTTCCCTCTTTGAGTTTATAAAAAAAATTTCACGTGGACCAAAAACTAGCCAAGAACTTCCAGCTAACGAGCTATTAGTTGATCAAAGTTCAAAGATCATATGACCAACTGCATGTCATTTTCAATGACATGCAGTTGGTCATATGATCAGACTTTCTTGTGTATGGAAAGTAAACTGCACGAGCCATTTGGAAAGTTCCGATTATGACGTCACATGACGTCGTAGGTACGTTATGTTGCATTTCCACAACAAAGTCTAAATAGTGCCTTTTTTCCTTGTAACACGAATAAAAGTAAAATATAAGTATAAGAAATAAAATATCATTTTTTTTAGAGTTTCATTGGAAAATGACATGAAGTCGGTACGTGATAAAATCTACTAAAACGTACTTCGGGCGTTATAGGATTTGATCACGTGACCGACTTCATGTCATATCCCAATGAAACTCTAAAAATGATATCTTATTTCTTAAATATCAATATGATCAATGGACTGATGCCCTAAAACTATGGTATGATTTGCTTATTAATATTATTTAGTGTTGTCTTCTCAACTCTCCAAAATATTTCTTTCTAAATTCTTCCTTGTAAAATTTGATCGCTTATTGTTGCCTCAACCTATTCCCAAGGACCCTGTCTGAACAAACTTGAATCTAAATTACCTGATGACGGTTGCATATCAATATAATAATATAACTGATAGTGGCTTTGATGCTCATTAGAGGAAGAATATCAAAAATTTTTCTTAAACAATGAATTTTCCAACGTTAAACCTTAATCTCTTATTGTGACCTGAACCTATTCCCGAATGCCCTTATTTAAGCAAACCTGAATCTATTCTTACTGAGGATGCTTCCATATAAATAAGACAAATGATGTCTCTGTCTTTCTTGAGAAGGGCACTTCAAAATATTTTTCTTTATATTCCCATGTAAAACAATTTTCTATCGTGGCCCCACTCTACTGTCAGGGACCATGATTTGAACAAACTTGAATCTACACTATCTGAATATGCTTTCTTTTCAATACGACAAGTCAAGGTCTCGCTGTTCTTAAGAAGAATATTTTAAAGGCTTATTAGGTTAGCTAAAAAGCATTTATTCAAAGTCTGCTCACTAATCATTAACTGTATTTAGATGTCATCGTCGCAAGCAACGGAATTTTGTTCCAAGTCTATTTCTACAAACCCGTGGCTGTGTACTTCAAATTTCTCCCGTTTTCATAAATACACGTTCAACGAATGGAATAATGATCTATAGCTACAAGTCAGAAACGTTTTGTTCATTGAAAATTATCCGTCTATCTTATATTTGGGTGTAACCATAACCATGAGCTGATACATCAACTTCGGTTCGAATATTCGTCAAAGCAAGAGACGTTATTCAGCGTATTCAGATCACATCTTCATTCGAAACCCTGTATTTTAATATTAAGGTTTGTAAGTATTTTAGAATATATTCTATTCGCCTCTGTTCTTCAGGATCTTTCGAATTTTCAGTTATAAATCTGCCACGCATAGCAAACATGATTTCATTACGGGTGCCGCAATGTAAATATTCTGTGAATCATTCGTGAGAACGAGCGAATTTTGTAGTAGACAGCCAGGGAGTTGTGGAAACAGAATGGACACAAAAGCCGTGACTTGCTATAATCTAAATGTATTTTTGTATATCAGTAATCGGAAACTTGAAATTAAACCTGTGGTTTAGGCATTCTCTATACGTCTTTGTTCAGATGACATATAAGTTATCTAAACGACTTTGTTTACTGTTCACTGAAATTACCTATAAGGTATTTAATGGTATACATGACGCTGAAATTATCTGTATGTCATTATACACATAATATCTGAAATTACACCTGGTCATTGTACCCACCACACTAAGATAACATAAGTGTATCACTTTACGAAAAACATAACATTTAAACTGCAGCTACAATATACAAATCTGTTATTCGTTATTTTCACTATTACAGTGTGCAATTCTAATAACCGTTCACGGTAGCTCATTCGGTGGAGCGCTTGCTCCGTGATCGGGAGTTCGTGAGTTTGAATCTCGGCCGCGACTCACCTAAGTCGATAAAAAATGGGTAGTAACTTTTCTTTCGCCATGCGCTCGGCACTTTGAGGTGAAAGTTGCGGGTCCTTCGGATGAGACCTTAAAAACCGAGGCCCTGTGTCGCGGCAGCCGTTGACACGATAAAGATCCCTCGCTGCTCAATGGCCATGAGTTAAGAGTAAAGGTCAAAATTCGAAGCCCTTCACCGGTATATCTCGAATGGGACGTAAAACAACATACAATCAATCAAACAATCAATCAATCAATTTTAATGTATACATGTACACGTTTCGTGACATTCTTCAATAAGAAAGAAAACCAGTAATCTCTTCGATTATTACCTCTTTGCGAAGTTCCTTTACAGTCATTTTTTGATTGAGTTCCGGTGCAGCAAATATTACTTTGTCAGGATCTATTTCCTCGTGTAATAGTACCTCTCCTATGGTTTCTCCACTGAGAGGGACTCCACATGCTCCATGAAAGTAGCTCTTTGTCAGTCTGTCTGCTGGTTTACAGTCTCTTAAAAGACACATAGCTCGAATTATTAACAATGGAAAATAAGTCCATTAAATGTATGTTTAAAAGATAAACCTTTTGAAAAGGGGAAAAAAAGTAGAATGTTGACAAACTATGCCTCTCTTGTTCGATAAAACAAAATTGCAAAAAAAATTGAACAACCTTGCTTTGTAAGCGAATCAAAGCTAGATCTTATGCAACTATATTCAACTATAAGACTTTGTAATACCCTCGATTTCCGAAAATCGATGTGTTATATTTTAAGGAGGGATTCTTCTCATATTTATTGTATTTAAAGATTCAAAATTTTTTTCACAAAATAATGAAGACAATATCACTAAGTGATCAGCTAACAGTACCAAATTGAGATGAATAATTTAAGTAAAACAGATATAAGCTAACCCGATTATCTCTAAATTTCTCAAATATTCAAGGAAAATGCTATTTTTCTATGCTTGTTACATTTCATTTTTTTTTAATATATATTGTAAAATCTACATATACCAATGAAACGAAAAAAAAAATGTCGACAGTTTAAACAAAAACAGTTTTTACTGATTTTTACATCAAAATTGTTCATATATTGAAAATTTCCAAAATCTAAAATGATTGTAGTACGTTTGGAAAATCTGATTTATTTGATATACTTTAAAACTTAAGTCCCAACTTAAATTGTCATTCTTTTCAGAAAATCTTTTGATATAGACTATTTAAAATGCGAGCTAAATTCATTATGCTGTAGTAAATTTGCAAAGCAGAACGTAATATTTTCCTACGCCGCTGATTCCCTCAAAATATAGTCCATAGTGCTAGACTGCAAACCAGTATACCATTTCTTTATAGAGGTATACATTTGTAAGGAGAAAAGAAAATATGATCTTATAAATTCCTAGCATTTCAACATTAAGGACACTTATACAAATATGAAATATGAAGATAACGAACAGAAATCTAGTTCAAAAATCGATTGGAACTTTAACAATTATAAAATTGGAGCGGAGCAAGCATGGGACTCTAAAAATGGCAGAAATACGTGGTCCTTCATGTTAATTAATTTGATTGGCCATTGTTTTACGCCGGATCGGCAATATTTCAGCCATATATCGGCGAGACTAAACGTGGTATTTTCCCATCTCTGCAGTTCCACAAAGACTTTAGGCCCCGCTTAATGTTAAGCTCGATCATTTTATCTTCCTAAGCTATATTGTACCGTTGTAGGAAGCAAATAAAAACATAATATTTAAAATTCCTAACATTTTGAGATGAATGGCATTTTGAAAATAAATATGTGCATTGAATTTTTTTACCATTAAAAGTCTTACGTAAGGAAAAAACAATCAAAATGAACTTCATAGTTCTATATATAGTGAGACAATTTCTTCTTTTTTTCATTTTCGGCTTCTTTTTTAGGCCTACATTATTAATTTTAGACCCATATCTTTAGCAGAATTGTCCCAGTGAATTAAAGGGAACTCTTTTTTAGGTGCGCATGATGCAACTTTCTGGATGGTTTGTAGGCTGTTTGTCAACATGTGAAACCCACGTGTATTTCAGGGTAGGTATGTTTACTGTCAATTTTCTTTCTTAAAAGCCGCATAAGGCGTATTTTTTTCTGATCTCAAATTTTTGTCCAAGCATTAATCTTTATTTTCTCTTTCATGAGTTATCTGCTGAGAGTCTAGTTAATTAATTAATTTAATTCAGCTATATAGTAACATATAGTGAAATTATTTCCTTGTGTGAGACCTTAAGTAACTTGACAAGAGTCCCTTCTTCACAGATCCGCTAGGAATATGAATTGGCTTATTGTTTTCTTATTTTCAATCTTAGGTCAAATGTTGACAGATGTTTTTCATACAAAATATTAGGCCATTATTTTCACACTGAATTGTCTACGGATTTTTTCGTTTGCCCGATCATATCAAGGAGCACACGGTAGGTATGATCGAACAACAAGGGATTCTTACTCCTCCATGGCATCTGATCCCATCTCTGTTTTTATGGGTCCACGTTGCCTCTGCTAACAATTAATATTGTTTAACTGGACTTTTACTAATTACTATTCGTGATTTCACATTTCACTTTAAGAATCTTAATTATTTTACTTTGCTTAGTAAAGCTATCAGGATATGCACCAATACTGCAATTTACGCTCATATATCGCACAACACCTCCTTAAATATTTACCTATCCTTCGTTTCATATCTTTGTAACGTGTAATTCTGTATAAAAAAATCAGTTTATTTACTCCAGTAGCGTCTTTAAGAAATGTATTTTGAGCTCAACTCAAAAGGAGAAGGGTGAACAAGGCGTGCAGAATGCCCATATCTTCAGATATATAAATATCATTTTTAATTTGTGAATGAAGTTCCTATTATTGAAATTTATGAAATTGTTATAAACAAGGAAAATTTCCTTGGCAAATGAGGAAAAAATTATTTTATTTTTTTCAAAACATCATATGGTATTCGTGGGGTTCAAACCCTAGCAATAAAAATCCTTAGAATCATTTTCCTTTGAGACTAACCCGCCAACAACTCCTAATGAATAGTAATTAAAGGTTTGTGATATAACCTACAAAGGTTCTTTCTCGGAAAGATGCATTTGTGTATTGTTAAGGTATAGTGGTTCTTTGCTCCATTATTTTGTTAAGATGTATATTTTTAAGCAGTCTTTGAGGATGAACGTTCAAAAAAAAAAACAAAAAAAAACAAAAAAAATGGAGCAAAGACCCACTCATATCGAAAAAATTGTGTTATAGTATGAGAAAATGATCCTTTTTGCCCTCTTTAGTGTGTGTATGCTATTTCATAGGCAAATAATAAAGATCTTTGTGAGATTTTTGCAAAATGTGCAGATTTTACATAAAGTATATAAGATGAAATATTAAAGAAAATTTTGTTATAATTGAGATTTAATCTTTCACCTTGATGTTTGTCGCACTATAGGCAATTCGCTCGCCTTGTTCGCCCATCTCCTTTTGTATATACAAATAGTCCTTTAGTACTTACCGGTCAACCATATTAAATGCTATTCCCATCAAATGTTATTCACAAGCACCCAGTTTGTTGACCTATGAAAATAATGTTGAAGATGTTATAGGCTTTCTCTTATATTGTTGCTATCAGATGATTGTATAATAAGCAACCAATTTCCACACTATTCTAATTCACAGAAATACGTTATGTAATGCGGAATAAAAACGCGTCTCTGCCTTGTGTATGTACCTTTATGAAAGTCAATTGTGCAATAAACTGAAAGTTGTGCCTTGTAACCTGTATTAAACCAGACGTTCTGATATTCAAAGGTCACGGTCTGATATTTTTTGTAAAAATAGAGCTTGATATACATAATTGACTACCGGTCATATAAGATTTAAATTTCCATATCCTTTTTACTGAAAACCGCCCGGCGTGACTCATACTGCGCTATGATCCAAAGTAGCTGAAAATCTCAATTTTTCAAACTTTTCTGGTTGCTACCATGGCAACCAAGACAGATAGAAATCAAATTTATTTGATACATGTTTCTGATGTCAAGTTGTAATTATGGGCAAAATTTCATAAAAATCGATGACCATGCGTGGCAAAGAATTTAAGTGCTTTTAAAGAATAGCTCTTAAAATTTACCTAGGTGATAAATAATTTTTTAAGTAATGCGAGTTTTTGCCCATAAGGTATTATGTCATCAGCGACAACTTTTGACTGCAGCGACTGAGCGAGAGAAAGACACGAGTTTACCGGATGTTTACAAGTATTTGCAGAAATTCCTTTCTAGAATTATTGTGCAATGCCCAGGTTTGAACTGCAATTTCAAATCAGGGCAAGAGGTTGGGCTCCGCATATTCAAGGACCTAAAAGAGGTTTAGGGCACTTAGTAAACGACATGGTCTATACTATAGCGCATTTACTAACATCCAAAAATTTTCAATATTTCATGATATTTTTTAAATCTAGCCATAAACAGATAGAAAATACAGGTATCTGGTAAATTTAGTGACCATATGCATAGGCGCTCGGTTAGTTACAGGAAGGGATGTTTTGTGTATTGTGTGTTTTTCTCTGTTTGTCTAAATACACTAATGAAAATTAAAATCGAAATGGAAATAAAAACAAGAGGCCCAAAGGCCTTGAATCGCTCTTCTGATAAACTGTACAACCTATCACTTCTATTTGAAGCCTCTAAGTATCCTGTATACATGTATTTAGACAAAGCCTTGAAATTCCAAAAGTAAGTCATCATGACCTACCTTTTAGATGAAACACTCTGAGAACTCAAGATGATTCTAAGCCAATTAGTACCTGAGAAAAGGTCATGTTGACCTACTTATCACTTGTCATTCTCTGAGAACCCAAGATGCATCAACTAAGTTTGATGATTCTAGGCCAATTAATACCTAAAATATTATTAAATTAATAACCATAAAATTTCAAAAGTAGGTCACAGTGACCTACTTTTCAGGTGATATACTTTGAGAACCCGAGATGCATGAACTGACAAAGTTTGATGATTCTAGGCCTATAAGTACCTTATATATTTAAATATACCCATAAAATTTCAAAAGTAGGTCAGTGACCTTTATTTCAGTCATCTTATTCTGAGGACCGAAGATGCTTCAACTGAAAACGTTTGATGGTTCTAAGCTGATTAGTACCCGAAATATTTCATTATAGCCATATGAATTGAAAAGTAGGTCATGGTGACCTACTTTTCAGTAGACATACTCCAAGGACCCAAGATGCATCAACTGACAAAGTTTAATGATTCTAAGCCAAATAGTACCCGGAAATATTAAATACAGCCAAAAAAAATTTCAAAAGTATGTCAAGGTGAACTTCTTTTCAGTAGTCGTACTCCAAAGATCCAAAATGCATCAATTGACAAAGTTTGATGATTCTAAGCCAATTATTACCTGAAATATTTAATTAAAGCCATAATATTTCAAAAGTAGGTCACTGTGACCTACATTTCAGTTGATCTACTCTGAGGAGAAAAGATGCATC